TGATAGATTCTTAAGACAAATTTAGGGGACCCGTATTTTTTCTTTTTGTCAAGTGGCCCCCTTTTTTTGGAGTTACAGCCCCCTCAAATTTGCCCCTAAGAATAGTCTTTTTTATATCTCAGAACCCTGTTGTACGAGAATCACTAAATTTGGTACACAGGGGTTTTATGACTTGTGGAATCTGATAGTGCTACGCTTTTTGGCGGGGAACCCCCTTAAGACACTTTTTCGTGGGCCCCCTTGTCTTTGGAACCAAAAAATTTGGTCGCAAATTTGAATTTCTTAATAATTATTAATTAGCTAGAAAGCCATTGAATTTAGAAAATTTTTTGTCGCTAGATATTTTTTTCGTAAAACGCAATGTTTTTGAGGAAAATGGTGTAACACGATATGCATTCGATTACATTTTGTCATTTTTTCTCGAAAACATTGCGTTTTACAAAAAAAGCATCAAGAGACAAAAAAAGTTTCTAAATTTAATGGCTTTCTAGAGAACTAATAATTTAAAAAAAAATTATATGTGCGACCAAATTTTTTTGGCTCCAAAAACAAGGGGGGGCTACGAAAAATTGTTTTAAGGGGGTTCCCCGCCAAAAAGCGTAGCACCATCAGATTCTACATGTCATAAAACCTCTGTGTATCAAATTTAGTGATTCTCGTGCAACAGGGATCTGAGATATAAAAAAAAAGGTTATTCTTAGGGGCGGATTTCGGGGGGCTGTAACTCCGAAAGCGGGGGCCACTTGGCAAAAATAAAAAATAGGGGTCCCCTAAATTTGTCTTAAGAATCTGTGACCAAACATTGTTGCATCAATCTCGGGACACCCTGTATAATGAAATTGTCGATTTGGTCAAAAGCTTTTTTAAAGTCGGTGTAAACAACGTCAATTTGACCCTGCTGATCAAGATGTTCACAAACGTAATGTGAGAGACAAGCGAGAGTAGTTATGTAGGATCTTCCCGAAATTTAACCATGTTGTGCCGTGGCTAATATATTCTTAATATCATTGAATCGGGATCTCCTTTTTTCAAAATCGGACACACTCTTGCAACCTTCCAAATCTCAGGATACGCACAGTTCTCCAGGACTAAATTAAAAACAAATACTATTGGTTCAGCTAACAAATAAATAGTCCTTTATGAAAAAGCTAGGTATCCTGTCAACACCTGCTGTCATTTTATTTTTTAATCTTTTTTCAGCTTTTTTAGTAACCTTAGGTACTGTCAAGAGAGATGCAGAGTATTCTTTAGCATTTGCGACACCTAATACCAAGCCAGGATTTGATTCACGGTAAACACTATGGAAAAATCTACCAAAATAATTTGAGGTTTTGTCAAAGTCAAGTCCTGATATGAAACAGCGCAGGGAATACGTGAATGACCTTTTTTATTTGGACGAATGACCAAAATTCAGTTGGATCATACTACTGGTACTATCGGTAGATATTGATCATGCGCCTCCTGAATTTGCAGCTTCACTAATCCCCGCAGATTTTCATATTTTTCACGAAAGTAGAATGAATTTTGCTTTTTATAATCACGATACCCTTTTTCTTTGAGACATCGATTATCTATGATCTACCTGGAAAAATGACACTGTAATAGAGGGATAACATAAATCTTCGCTTACCAAAGGCATATAATTTTTTTTAACGTAACAATCATGATCGGAAAAAACTAAATCTAATAAGCGATCATCACTGTTTAAAACATTATTGAATTGTCTTGCATTAGTTACATCTAAGAATTGTTTCATTAAAACTAATTTAAACTCCATTGTGCTATTAACAATGTATTAAAGAATTGGGGATTTTAATATTAAAATCCCCAATTCTGATAAATTTTTTGTTACTCGTGACGATAATATCAAGAGAAATTAAGAACTCAACAAATACTTCAAACTCATTATGTATAACTGATGGAGGGATATAAACAACAACAAGTATATACAATATAAAAGAGTCAATGATGAACCTGCACCCAGTGTCAACAATGTAGGGGGAAATGCTTCTTATATCCGAAAAATCCAGTGGAAAAGAAATGTATTTACAGTTAACAGCAGGTAAGACGCCACCACCTCTAGATTTGTTGGTCAATTGCAAATCTCGATCACAACGGTATATCACATATTCTTCAGAAAACAATTCAGATGTAAAAACATCCTCCTTGATCCAGGTCTCGTAGATTGCAATTATATCATACGCACTAGCAACAACAGAATTTAAAAAATAAATGAATCTTAGTACTGTCATGTTAAATCTACCACCCAAATCTAGATGGAGTGCAAGCTACAATCTTGAGAGGTCTCTCACTGGTAAAGGTTATAAACATAAACTCATATACATATTCTCTGACAGTCACGCAGCAATTAAGGCTTCAGACTACTACTACTATGCATTGACGAAATAAGAAAGCAGGTGAACTTGCTAGGAAGAGATCCGACACATCTGTGGCACATCTCCCAGTGTGGTCAAGGGGGTCCTGAGCAAATGGGCTGAGTCAGAACATAGAAAATACTGGACTAAAACGCCAAGGCAAAAACATGCGAAGGAACTTATAGAGTGTCCTTTGCAGGATAGAACAAATGAGTTGCTGAGCTTGAATAAAATTCGGCTCAGGACAGTAACGGGACTTATAACAGGACACTGTCATTTTAGGGTACATCTGTCTATACGTCTAAGACGTGTAGACAGTCCGGTCTGCCGAGGATGTAATTCTGGCCGAGTCTCCAGGATTTGTACGTAGTAGAATGACGCTCCTAGGAAAACCCTTTCGGAAACCCAAGGAACAGAGAGAAATGTAGGTAATTAAGGACAAAACTAGTTATTGAATAGGTTTGAGGTAGGTGAGGCGCACAATAGGCCTAATAAGGCCGCAGTGCTATGGGACTTGAATAGAGCCTAACCACAGGTTAAGAAAAAAAAGAAGAAAAAGAAGAAGAAATATTTACCAAATGGCTGAGTTTTGCAGTAGTACATGCTACATGGTCGCACAAATCTGTCTGTATATAAATTTCCAGATGCTAATTTGTTTTTTTTTTAATTAGCATAGTTCCATTAATGATGTCCCATTTGAACAACTGAGTTTTGATGGAGCTTGACTACAAAGATTATGTACAGTTTTAGGTTTTATAAGACTGCACAAATGTTATCAATCTTTAAAAATTGTTTGAACATAATTTTCAAATCTCACCATCATGATGTGCAAAACTAAATGAAAACACGTACATACTGTTATTAAAAAAGAAACGAATTTGAAATAACTGCGGTAAAACTGGCATATTCAATGTACTGCATTTTGTAGAAAACTTATTAATAATATCACCTGAATTATCTAAAATCACTTAATTTGATAAAATTTATCATCTTGTGACGTCTTAATACAGTTGGAATGTTTAATATTTTTAGAATAATACAATGAGTAGGTACTTTGTTTCCCTTATTTTCTCAGAAACGTTTATGTTCTAGAATATACAGGATTAATATAAAAAAAATGTTGTTAATGAATAATAATTAAAATATCGAGATTTATGAAGATTTTCGCTCTTACCGTCTTCTAAGAGTGGTTTCTACGCCTTGAAACCGAATTCCGAGAAAATAAAAAAATACGGGTTCAATATTTTTTAGAGTTCTAGATGTGCCAAAAATAGAAAAAATAATTATTTTCTATTGAAAAAAGAAACATTTTGTAAATTAAAGCAAAATATAATATGTAGTAGTCCACTGGACTCCACTGTCTTTAGGGAATTTTGTGTTAATCACTGCCTCCAGTGTAAGTTTGGTTGCTTAACAGTCACCGTCACGTGGGACTCGGACATTTATGAAGGCACTGTATGGAGTTTTCATAAATAAATAACTAATTATAATTTTAATAAAAAAGTCGAGTAATTAATTCCGTATTCCTTATTCTTAAAAATGATTAATTCAGCAACCTTTACATAACAATAACAAGATCAACGAACAAAACAACATACAGATACAACAAAACAAAATTAAATGGTAAAAAATTTCATCACAAATGTTCGAAGTAGGTACAGTGTGATTCACTATATTTTGACCCCCCCAATAACTTTTTTATTCTTAGAGTTATAAAAAAATGTGAAGTACAAAAATTCATAAAAAATCTTGCGACTTTTGTATTTTACATTTGTTTAAGAACTCTTAAAACAAAAAAGTTAAAGGGGGTCAAAATATAGTGAATCACCTCATTACTAACTTGGTGGTTGAAAAAAATCGCTTATCTGAAAAAAGTTATGGGAAAATATTATGAACAAAAAATTATTTTGCGGTTATATAACATTGTTTATATTGAGCTTTAGAGAAAATGTAATAAAAAATTACTATTATTTTTATGAGTAGATCCTTTCAGTCGAAGCGAAACTTTTGCAAAGTTGCTACTTAAGATATTGATGGTGAGGAATGGCGAAACAGTTTAAAGGTTTCTTGCTAAGGTTTAGAAATGGCACTGTAAGTTTGTAACTGACGGTAATTCGGTACACAGATTACGGCATAACAACCCGAAAAAAAGAAGGTACTTTATGAGTAGAATAGCTCCATATATTTTTTGCACTTATTTCCAGAACAGCCTGTATAATATGACTCTCCATACCAACTACATGAGACTTAATAAGACATACAGCGCAAAGCTCAGACGTGGAGTTCTTATTGCTTGTTTTTTAACCTCGGCAATAAAGAACCGGCATTGGAATTTAGTTAATAATACCTACTCGTATTCCACAGAACCAGTCCCAGTTCCCACAAAACATTTTTATTTTTATCAATGCTAATACCGCGAAGTTTATTTCATGTGAATTATTTTTTCTGCTAAAAATAAATGTGTTTTATGGTACTAACTACAACATACACCCGGCAGCCAAAAATACATTAACGATATACCTAGAACGAGATAAGATAGATATTCTCTTTACTGGTTACACATTTGTGAAAGTGAAGTTGAAGTGAAAAGCATGGGTCAAAGTCTTGGAGCGAGTACTAATAACCAAGATGTAGAACATGGCAAAGTAGTAGTGGAAATGAAAACTACGAATCAGAATCCTAAAGAACCAAACGAAACTTTAGATGAACAAGGTAGGTAAATATGTTAATATGTACTGTATTGACGGTGTGCTCGCAGAAACATGGATTGTCTTATGAATGTATGTACAGGGTCATCACTCGAAAATATTAGAATCGACTTTATTGTATTCGAAGACATATGAAAAGTAATAAATTTCTTTTATTTATATAAAAACAATGGGAAATAGCTGATAAGGGATATACTTACAGTAAGTAAATAGATAGTTGAAAACAAGGAAAATTTTTTATTTTTCAATTTACGAAAAGTCATTCTTGTTAAACACAATCTGTATTCTACTTTACAAACGATGTAATTTTAGATAAGCAAAATATGCAATTACATAGCGTACTAATTTTTTTTTCAAAAATAGCCCATTTTATCATTAGAATTCAATTAATACATTATGATTATTTAGAAATAATTAGTTGATATTATTCTATATTCAAAAACAATTTGTTTGAAAAGTAATTAGTAACACCTTTTTGTTTTATTATAAAATTGTTTCCGATCTCTTACACAAAACGGTTGTAGAAATCAAAACAAATTAAAGTAGTACGATTTCTTCCAAATTTAGAACTTGATTACACAGGCTGTTTTTATTTTTATAAGCAGGATTCCAGTAACTTATAGAGGTCATTTTAAGCAAAATAGTTTCAAAGACGTACTCGTCAAATCTCTTCTTTTTCAAGCTTTAGGACATTTCATTTTCCGAATCATTTTTCCGGATATCTTGTGAATGAAAAAGAATAATTGTTTTGACGAACGTACCAATTTTCACATTGATAGATTCCCCTGTGGCATACTTACTGGGTGGTTACTGGGTGGATTTTACTATTTTCTTAAAAAATGATAATATATTATGATACGGTTAGTAAAAGCATGATGGTTCATGGTTGCAAAAAAATCGAATGAAATGCAAAGTTGAGCACAAAGATCACAACTACGAAAATAAAGAAACAGAAGAATTTAAATCATAGCTCGTGAAAGTGACAATCATTAGTATCATTACCATGAAACTGTCACTATGAAAGATGCCTACTAAGTAAAAATGTTTTAAAAAATGTTACTGTTCTGAGCCATACATTATTTAGAAAATAATTATTTTTGACTAAACTACGCAGAATTCAAAAATGTCTAATTCATTAAAAAATAATATTATTTGCTTGATTACACGGTCGATAGCCGCACATAAGTCGTTCCTGGGCGCAAATGCGGCCTGCGTAATAATAATATGCCGCCTACTCTCCCGCACAAGTCTTCGACTTCTGGGCTAATTCTCGTAGTTAGAATGAGGAGAAGAGATATTATTATTCTTATTATTATTATATAATTCAAAGGAATAAAAACAATTCGAAAAATTTCTGTCAAGAGTAGTTACAAAACTATCCTTATTTATAACCAATTTTGATGAAACATGTGTGAAAGACCCTTATGGTATGATTATTACCTACAAGTTTCATTTCGTTATCCCAATCAGAAAGAAAGTTATTTTAAAAAATATCCAAATGATAAGAGCCCTTTGGAGGGGCATATCTCAGTAACGGTGCTCCGGAGGACCAATGTTTATAGGAACTTTTTTACTATTTTTAACCAACTGTTCCAAACACCCTGTATGTTTTAGACATAAAAATCTTTGGTGCAGTAAAAAATATTCCTGTTACTCAAATATATTGAAGATTTTCCAACGAATATACAAACTTTTTATTCACAAATGCCTCATCTTACCCTACATGCAGAGGAGAAGGTCCGAATATGGGCCCCTATTTTGTTTTTTATAGATTATTAACAAATTTTTTGACAAATACACCTAAAAATTGACACATTTAGTTCAAGAACTCGTCTACAATAATCAGCGCGGCAAAGTTCCGGAAAGATAACAAATACTGAGATATCAGTTAAAATATGAAAATTGAACAATATCTTGTATGAGGGTAGAGTGTATGAAATATGGGCCCCTATCAAAAATGATGCATAAGTTTACGTTTAACAAAGCAAACTTTATTTTCTAGTAAAAAACTTCATATACGATTATACAAAAGAGTAATGGCAACAACAGAAATTAGAAAGAAAGAAATTATTTGCAGAAGTCACAAATGTAATTTTTTTGTTATTTACGCTATTCATTGCCTTTATCATGTTTTCGGAGTTTCATTGTTTCCTTAAATTCTTTGGTAAAAACTTTGGTTTGTTACGTGGTATGGTCAACCTGGAAAAAGAACTGAATTCAAAATCAGGGGAGAATATAGGCCCTGGCCCATATTCGGACCCACAAAAGGCCCATATTACCAGCATTGCATGCCATTCAACAATAGATACCTATTATTTGTAGAGTTTAAGAGAATCAAAATATTTTCTGAACAAAACAAACTGATCTTTATACAAAATGTCTAGGTGAATATACAAAAATACCTAGTCACTAAAAATCGTATAAAACATAATAACAACTTACCTTCAGAAAATATTCAGAATTCCAGTAACACATTTACCACCACCTGTTTCTAACAATATAAGAAATCAACTGCACAATGTCGGTAAAACAGTTCGCTACTAGGTAGCTGTCTTTTAAAGTATTATTCAGTGATGCCGCTAGATGTTCTAATAGGAATAGTCATGGGGCCTATATTAAATGCATGGGCCATATTCGGACCTTCTCCTCTAATATTCGTATAAAAAATGTATATGTGAAGCTCAAAATACCAAACATATTGGAATATTATTTTCCGACAAATACGAACTTTTTAACCATATACGTTAAGTTGCGAAAATATCGAATATTCGCGAAACGCAAAGTTCACATAATTAGGACGATTTTTATTTTTACTACTCTATTTGTCTAAAGTTAAGATAAACAGATTAGATTCTAAGGAAATAAAAATATAATCTAGACCACTTTTGGGGAAATGGGGATTTATTTGTATACCTTTGATAACACAAAAATATGTTTTCAAAATCCCCTACATACAGTGCTTTCGAAAAGTAACGAATAAATTCATTATTTTTTAAATTGAGAAGTTTTCGAAAAAATCCCCTGGCACGTCGATTTTGTTTTTTGAAAAGGCACTTTTTGACATACGACCCATATTTGTGACGTCATCGTTGTTCGAGATATGACGTCATCGACAATTTTTTTAAATAGCAACAAGGGCTTCTGATTTCTCGGCCTACTTTTTTTCTCGGGACTCGAAAATTCTCGACTAGGAATTCCCGGAAATTCTCGAATTCTCGTGAAATTTCTAAAACTTAAAAAAGTCATAATTTTGGTATTGCAATGCAAAATATAAACATGCTATTATACTGAACAATCATCATTAACATTTATAATTTATTCAGTATTTTTATTAATTACTTATATGTTTCAACTTCTACTAACAAAACTAAATTAAACTTTGAGTATCTTCTTCTTAACTTTTAACTTGGTTTTTTATTAAACACTTTCATTATACTTATGTTTATTTCAATGTTTTTGAATCGTAGCTTTCTTAAAATAATTATTAATAATCATTAATCATGCAGCCTTTTAATTAAACAAATAGTAAATAAGGAATTTAACTGAAGAAATCTTAAAAAAACANTATTAAACACTTTCATTATACTTATGTTTATTTCAATGTTTTTGAATCGTAGCTTTCTTAAAATAATTATTAATAATCATTAATCATGCAGCCTTTTAATTAAACAAATAGTAAATAAGGAATTTAACTGAAGAAATCTTAAAAAAAACAAGCTTTAATTTACAGACACAGAAGCGTTCTTCCTATTAATTTATCACATATAATCACAATCTTTTAATTAACAATACAAAAATAAAATAATCAACCAAAGGAACAGGAACTAAATATTTTCAGAATCAACATCAACATTAGGTATGTGGGTACACATGTTTGCAAGTGACCCATATTTGAAAGCACAACGTCAAAAGCGCCGCAGGACGCCGCCGGACGAACCAGCGTTCCAAGAAGGGCTGCTGGCGCCGGTCACCAGACGCGTACCCATGAACGACCGACTTCAAACACAAGGCNAGTTAAAGAAGTCTAAAATTAATTCAAGATTTATACGGTTTTCGAGAGTATAAAAAAGTACTTAGTAATTTTAGTTAAAATACTGAAGGGTAAAGACGTCATTAAAAAAAGATGTGTAAAATTAAATGTACTTTGTCCTTTAAATAAGAGGGAGATTTTGTACAGAGATTGCTTATAGAAAAATATTTAAATACGTAGAAAAACGTATTCTATCTAAAAATACTATGTCGTTTCCCTGTTTCTTGGTAAAATTGTGCTTTAGGTGTCGTACGTAATTATGCATATATCGATAGAGTGAGTTTACATTTTGGATGAATTACACAAAAAACGTAAAATTACATGCTTAATGTAACTTTACTTGTATGATGTAATTTTACATTACCTACTGTGGAGTCAGAATAACTAATTATCTGGTATGTAATTTTACATAAAATTTTTATGAGTGTACATGTTTATATGAAGTTTTCTTCATAACATCGCCTTAGCAACCGGTTTTTTAAAATGTCTGGATGTTGTTTTCGAACACCCTGTATAGGAATTCTATACGCATTTCAGTTACGAATGGCATCACTTGTTTAATTTATCGCAAACTTCGAGCAGCTATTGTTTTAATGTTGGTAACTGGATTGACATTGAAAACATGTTGAATTTCGTATGAAACCGACATTGCAAATCTTCTGATGTTTAATTAAAAGAACTACCCAGTAATCCTGATTTTCTTGACTGTCACTTTTTAACTGTAATAAAGGACAAATGACCCCGCAGATACCTTAACGATTTTTATTTATATGGTTTTATATTACTTGTTACATTTATATGTATACATATTTTCTATTTATATTTTATATTTAATCTTTGTATTATTGTTTTAGTAAGAATATCATTTTACTTGTAAATTTGGAGCCTTATATGATTTGGTTGACGAATTTTATAAAAATATTATGGGATTAAAAATGTTATTTTGATAAAAAAAATATTAACGATTTTTATTTATTCTAGATATAATGTCAATACAAATGAGATATTTATATAGTTTTCTTAACCTTCAATTAGTTGAGGATCATTCGGATTTACTTGTGGAAGTCGATGGATGACCTGCAATATTTTTTATCAAAATAACATAAAAGTCCAATAATTTTTTAGTAAATTTCGTCAACTAAATCAGATAAACATACAAATTTACGAGTAAAATAATATTCATTCTAAAACAATAATATAAAGATTAAATATAAATGAAATAGATACAGAAAAAATATAGGTATATATAAATGTGAGAAGTAATATAAAACCACTGAAACAAAAATCGTTAATATTAAAATAAAAAAATGTGGAAAAATTCATTTATATTAAAAAAAAATTGTATGGTACATGTATGGCGCACATACACACAAACAAACTATCCTTCTCAGGGTAAAATTATGTGCAAAATTCCCTCGTGGTGCACATCGTGTTTCTCCAATGTCAGGGTAATTGGCGTTATTCTTTACAGGGTGGCCAAATGAAAACGCAACTGATCCATTTTCAGGAACTGCGTCAAGATTGTAGAAAAACGCTCAGACCGGTCGATTTTAGATTAAAGGGGAACATTCTTTGCTGGTAATTTTGACTCCGCCACTTTCACTTCCAAGCAAGGGTAAGCATCACCCCAAAATATTTAAATGGCATTGGGGGTTGAATAATATTTCTTTTGAAAGCTCTTACAATTCTCTTTACAACAGACTTTAAATTTTATAATTCCGCCCAATACTTTGAAAACAATTTACATTTCAAAATTTAAATTATGTTTAGTTGCTTACTTACTACTACTTAGTTGATTAAATGTTCAAACTGACGACCGCCCGCTTCCATACAAGAATAAAGATTTTGTTCGAAACGTTCGAGCACATTCCGAAGCATTTCCGGAGTGATTCGACGGCATTCGTCGACGATTCTTTGACGCAAATCTTCCAGCGACGCTGGCTGTGTTTTATAGATTTTACTTTTTAGGTATCCCCACAAAAAGAAATCAAGGGGCGATAAATCCGGTGATCGTGGAGGCCACTCAATGCTGCCTCTTCTCCCAATCCAATTCCGTAGAAAACGTTGGTCCAAATACTGACGGACAATTAACGCATAATGCGGAGGAGCACCGTCCTGTTGAAAAATCAAATGATCTTCATCATACTCTGGAACATTTTCAATAATATCAGTCAAGGCAGGGTCAATAGCGTCTTCCAGTAATTGCAAATACATTTGGCCAGTCAAATTACCAGGTAGAAAAAAAGGACCCACCAGCCGGTCACCGAAAATTCCAGCCCATACATTTAATTTTTCCGGTTGCTGTGTATGCACCTCGTGAAAAACTCTTGGGTTTGAATCGGACCAATAGCGGCAATTGTGACGATTTACCGTCCCGTTCAAGAAAAAACTGCATTCATCAGAAAAACAGATGTTAAAAAGGAACTGTGGATCGTTCCCTGCTCGCTCACTCATTATTTCGCAAAATTGCAAACGGCGGTCATAATCATCCTCATGAAGTTCCTGGACTAAATGTATTTTGTATGGATGGAATTTATTCTTCTTCAAAATGGTTTGTATGCTAGTTCGATTGATCCCAGACACAGATGCCAGCTGCCTCGTACTTAATGTAGGATCAAGATGAACTTGTCCCAAAACTGCAACTTCACTAGCTTCATTAACTATAGGTTTTTCAATTTCTCGTTTTTTATTGGCTACGTTCCCTGTCTCTTGAAATTTTTTTACTAACTCTAGAACATACTTCCTCCTGACATGTCGATCTTGATGTTGTTCATTAAATAGCTGAGCTGTTCTATTCGCACATTTATTGTTCATAAAGTAAAGCGAAATGATATCTACCCTTTCCGCAATGGAATAAACCATAGTGTTTAATTTTCAAAAACACAATTAAATAAACTACCAACCAACGCTTCCAAATAATACTAGAAAATAATTTGGAATCCACTAATTTTACGTTCATTGTGTGTGTATAGCATTCATTTCTGTTTTTTACAATTGTGTTTTTTTTTACGAAAGTGATAACAAATCGCCAAAAACCAATGTAACGCAAGAAATACTAAATTTATACCATTGGCGTACTTAACTCGAATGACTGACATTTTTACCGTTACTAATTGTTTGTACATAAGTTTCAACTTTAAAATCAAAATTCTTAATAAGTATTGGGCGGAATTATAAAATTTAAAGTCTGTTGTAAAGAGAATTGTAAGAGCTTTCAAAAGAAATATTACTCAACCCCCAAAGCCATTTAAATATTTTGGGGTGGTGCTTACCCTTGCTTGGGGGTGAAAGTGGCGGAGTCAAAAATACCAGCTAAGAATGTCCCCCTTTAATCTAAAATCGACTGGTCCGAGCGTTTTTCTACAATCTTGACGCAGTTCCTGAAAATGACTCTGTTTCGTTTTCATTTGGCCACCCTGTATATTATGTGAGAACAGATTTCTATAAAAATATAGGGTGATTTCGCATTAAATACAGAAACTGCAGCAATAGATTAGTTGCCAAGAAATAAGTAGACTTTGCCGTATTAACATTTTGCCTGGAGAACGTGGTATTCGAGATACAGGGTGTTCAAATTCCAAAAAAAAATATTTTCGATCACATCTACATATTACACTGAATGATGTGAATAAAACTTATTTTAGCGTATTCACGTAATTAGACCTTTTATAGAATGTAATATTAACCTCGTGGTATTAACCAGTGGCGCGCTACTGAAGGGGCCTAAAAAAAATGCGCCACGGGCAGTTTTTTGTAGAAATAATACTGTTACATCGAATGAGTAAAAAGTGACTCTTGGTATTTTTTAATAGCAGTCGTTNTTAACTCGATTGACTGACATTTTTACCGTTACTAATTGTTTGTACATAAGTTTCAACTTTAAAATCAAAATTCTTAATAAGTATTGGGCGGAATTATAAAATTTAAAGTCTGTTGTAAAGAGAATTGTAAGAGCTTTCAAAAGAAATATTACCACAACCCCCAAAGCCATTTAAATATTTTGGGGTGGTGCTTACCCTTGCTTGGGGGGTGAAAGTGGCGGAGTCAAAAATACCAGCTAAGAATGTCCCCCTTTAATCTAAAATCGACTGGTCTGAGCGTTTTTCTACAATCTTGACGCAGTTCCTGAAAATGACTGTTTCGTTTTCATTTGGCCACCCTGTATATTATGTGAGAACAGATTTCTATAAAAATATAGGATGATTTCGCATTAAATACAGAAACTGCAGCAATAGATTAGTTGCCAAAAATAAGTAGACTTTGCTGTATTAACATTTTGCCTGGAGAACGTGGTATTCGAGATACAGGGTGTTCAAATTCCCAAAAAAAATATTTTCGATCACATCTTCATATTACGCTGAATGATTTGAATAAAACTTATTATAGCGTATTCACGTAATTAGACCTTTTATAGAATGTAATATTAACCTCGTGTATTAACCAGTGGCGCGCTACTGAAGGGACCTAAAAAAAAATGCGCCACGGGCAGTTTTTTGTAGAAATAATGTTAAATTCAGATACTGTTACATCGAATGAGTAAAAAGTGACTCTTGGTATTTTTTAATAGTAGCAGTCGTTTAGGAGGTAATCTACTTATTTGGCGACAATAATGCGCAAATTTAATCCACCTACTCATATTTGTTTAAAATGCATCAGAAAAAATTAAATCTTTTGTCTGCATTATCAGTTAGTAAGCTTTACGATGATCTCGCTTTAGTATTATAACTAACTTTGTTTATTTATTTCTGAAGTTGCAGTCCTAAAAATGGAGGAAAATTTTTAATCTCCTCATGGAAAATCATATCATGATAAGTTCCTGTATAAATAGATTAGAATGTGTCAAAAGTGTATCTATGTGGAAGGACTTCGTTTTGGACAACTATTGTAGGACTGATTACTTAATTACTTACTCAACCTATTTGCTAATGTTATTTTATTAGGTATTTAGTTTTGAAATTTTTTCCAGAAATAAAATTATTTCTACAAAAAACCGCCAGTGACGTATTTTTTTCTTAGGAAAATGGGGCGTCACCTCCAGTAGCAGGCCACTGGTTAAAGTCACAGGTTAATATTACATTCAATAAACGGTCTAATTAAGCAAATACGCTGTAGTAAATTTCATTTGATTACGTCAGGGCATTATGAAGATATGGCAGAAAAAATATATTTTTTTGTAAACTTAAACCCTGCATCTCGAATACCGAGTCTCCCAGGAAAAAAGTTTATAGTGCAAATTCTACTTATTTTTTGGTAATGGTAATGAATATAGGACGGCAGTTTCTGTATTTAAAGTGAAATCACCCTGTATATGCTAATCATTGTAAACAAGCTACATTATGTGTCAAAAAGTTATATTTGCTACATTATAAATATGTTAAAAAAATTATGTTCGAGAGTAAATTAGTTTTTCACTGTTTTTGACCTTTTATGGGCCCTGCCGCCTCCAGATGGGCATTTGGAGCTTCATGGCCATGAAGACTTTTGAACCATGATAAGAAAGGGACAACATATCAATTTTTCATGAAATTTCCCCGAAAGACCAATTTATATGAGGTGTTTGCGAGGTTCATAAATGTAACGTGTGGGAATGGCTCCAGCATCGCCATTTTGTAGTAGGTATTTATGAATAGGTATTTTCTTTTGGAACTCTTAAAGACATAATCAATAATAGCCTTGAGTATTATAAGGTATCCTCTAACTTTTTTCCATTAACAAATAATCACAAAAGACGTTTAATTTTATAATTTCTTCTTAATGTTTCAACAAAAATTTCAGTAATTAGGTTTTCAATAGATTTAATGTGAAGAATTATGTTAAATCTTACACAAATAAATTAATATCGTTTATGAAGGTACCCATGATGCATTTTGAAAACATTATTCTCATTAAATCTATTGGAGAAAAGGTTTCTGTATTCAAGTCACTTTTTCAGTGTATACTACAACACCATCACTTAGAATAAATCTGATCCGCTTCTATACTTTTCTAAATCTAAGATATTCATGCCCTATGTCTAAGGGCACAAATATGCTGAAACGTCGCTACACGCGTTCAACGACACTTCGCGAAACAAAACTGATTGATATGAACAGCCAATCATCAAGTGAAGCGCCGTTTGAGGCATGAAGCAGCGCCCTAACATTTTTTCCCTAGGCAGCATCAGCAATGACAGAAATTCATAAGTTGATGTTGATTTATTGAAAGTGGAAATAGGCATTCCTATCCCAATTTATTTTAATTGGGTAGAAGAAATGTAAAACCAGTATACGGGTTAATAGAGAGAAATAAATATAAATTACGTAAATTGTTCAATGTTTCAACCTTATAACAGATAGAGTATATCGCCTTTTGCATACATCTAGTTACGGAGATACAAATGATGTACACCTCAAAAGTGACCACTCTGTAGAGTTAGGTATGCACACAACTTTTATAATGGATATATTACTAATACGGTACGGCCTTGAATGTAAAATACTAAAAATAATCAATTATTTTAACAAATTCTTCTGTGTTGTTCAAGTTTTCATTTCCTAGTAAAATAAAAATGAACATACTAGTTTATTTGTAGCTTTCCAAGGCATCATGAGGCCCCAGTAGGATCCTATAATTTATTTAGTCAGTTTTAGCATTTACCTGGAAGCGATGTTAATATATACTCGTATATTATTTGTTAGTGTACTTGTGATTGTCTTTTCTAAATTACAAGGCTGTGGTACAAAAGAAGGAGGAGTATTTGACATTAGATTTACAGATTATACGTAAATGAATGACCGTACTTTAACGATGGTAGTTTCCTTGGATGAAAATAAATCGATTCAGAACATACCAGGTATATTTTAGAGCTGTTAAGCGCATTCAAACATTTTTTTAAATCTAGTCTAGCATAGTTTGATTTCATTTAATAAATGAATTGAAACAATATTCTTTGATACCAGAATCTAGGTATGTAATACTCTTAATGTATGTAATTGAGGGAGATATAACTACTTTATGATCTACATACCCCAACGTGAATTGAATTATACCGCGAGAGTAAGTAAATAGTAACAATGTCTGACAATGAATATAAAACAAAAACACACCTGATATATTGACATTGTTAAATAATCATTCAAAGAAATACAAGTTAGGAGTTTTGTCTTTAGGGTTCGATATTTTTGCATACATAGAATTTGATTTGATAAGATTTATAAAAAAGTGTAAACAGTAAAACAAAAAATACATAGTTGCATAATCAGGGGACCAATATTATGCCTCTAAAAAATCAAGGCTAATATGATTATTTTTCGAAACATTTGAAAAAAAAACGAAATTTTGGAAATACGTTTTTGTTTCATTTCAGCCTTGTTTGAGGTGATATTGAAAAAAAGAAGAACACTTTCTCATGGCAACCATTTGCCCGAAAAATTAATCTTCAATGTATTCGTTCCAAATTTATCTAAATTTTTCATTTAGGTTTCATGTTTATTGAATTATCGTACACTCTAAGTGTTGGTAGACCCTGAGAAATCCACCTAATTATTTAAACTACATATTACCATCACCATCACACGTTACAATAAAACATTAATAGAGTTTTAATCTCCAGGACTTGGTCATACATAATTCGATAAGTTGTTGCGTCAAAATTAAAACTTTATTACAATTTCAATTTTGTTATGACAATTTAATTCTTAAAAATGCATATGAACAACCAAAACTCCAAACGAATATTATACTTTAAAAAATTACAGTAAATATTCAAAAACGTTTCCGTTTTGGCAAATGTTGAAAATGAAGATAAACATAATATGATCGGAATTTATTAAACCTGTAACCGCAACTGTGAAAGAGCATATCAAATGTATTTGTATGCATATCCTGAAAAAAATTAGGTCGAAATTTGTTTGAATTTTGAGTACTCGAAATAACTATGAGTACCTACGGGATTAAAACTCTAATAATGTTTTATTGTAAGGTGTGAGGGTAATAGTTTAAATAACTAAGTGGATTTCACATGGTCTAACGACACTTAGAGTGTACGATAATTCAATAAACATAGAAATGTAAAAAAATTATATAAATTTGGAACGAATACATTGAAGATGAATTTTTCGAGACAAAACGTCTGAGCCTGGTTCGGACTGAGGCAGTACAGTTGGGGGTTATGAAGGCTTGTTAAAAATGTAATAAATTTTGCAGGGTCGTATTTAAGAAAATGAAGTTGATGATGGTCCTGAGAGACGAAACGTTACATATAAAAATTGATTATGCCATTCGATAGAGGGCAAAAAGTTGCCATGAGAAAGTGTCCTTCTTTTTTCAATATCACCTAAAACAAGTCTCAAAATCAAACAAAAACGGATTTCCAAAATTTCGTTTTTTTTTTCAAATATTTCTAAAACTAATCATTTTAACCTTGATTTTTTAGAGACATAATGTTGGTCCGTGGATTATGCAACTCTGCCCCCAGTTAAGCTCCTTCGTATCTCTTACCGTTTCCAAGATCTCTGTAATGAGAAGCGAATGGTAACGGCCTATAGAAGTCACTAAGAATACCTAGAACAACGTCTGTTACTCAGCTCTATTCAAATGTCAATTGAGGTAGAACCCTTAGGGTCGTTTCACACCAAGATAGTTCAGTCTAGCTAGAACCATCTCTTCTCCTCTGCCTCTTCTGTGTTTAACCGATTATTTCTCAAATTTAGTCCAGTTCAGTTGCATCCAATCAGGACAATTCCAGCCACATCTTCTCGATCAACTCATTCTATCCACAGTTATGTTCATCAGTATTTAAAGTGTGTCAATGAGGGGATTTGCGAAAAATGGTTATACCCCTCTAGCTAAAAAAGTTACGTGGATTAGACAATAGAATAAGAGCGAACATATAGAAAATATGATTTTGAGTACATCCTACAGGATAAGTAATAAATAAGTATAATCAAGGTTATTATTTGAGTCATTTTAAAGGAAAACGTGTTACAGGGTATAACAAAAATAATGTTACGACTTCGCCAGCAGATAGAACACTCAATATTTAAAAAAAAAACATACCCAGAAGTGAGACAAATAGGGGCACTTTATATAAAATTTTTGCATAAAGTGATAAGCAACCCACTTGTCAAGTAGATTCAATTTTTGCGCTCATTAACGTGATTTTCGGCGATTTATCACTAGTTTTTGCCAATTACTCAACATTTTGGGGGTGGTTGAGCTAAACGGGCTTCAGATTCGGATTCGGTACGTCAAAATAGACGACATTTTTTATTTTGTGTAATCGACTTATTTTGATAGTGTTTGTTTTGAATTGTAACCTGAGACAATGTAATAAATTTTATTCTAAATAACATTTTATAATTTTTTCACATCTCTTATTCAACAAAATTAAAATAGGGTGATTAATTCAATATGTACAATATAGTAATAAAATTTAATTTTGACCAAATTTTCCTAATGAATTATTTTGATATATTAAACGAAAAATCCTTTTTCTTCTGCATAGAAAATAATTTTGTACGCGACTACTAGCTTTTCAGAAAAAAAATACGTTAAGGATTTGTAACTAAGTAGAATTATTTCCCAAAATATAGAAATTTTTTGTCGATAACATCAATGGGTAAGACGATCCGGCGACACCCTGTACATATTATTAAATATTAAAAAAGAAGTGATTGTTTGTGTTTCTTAACTCATAGGATATATTTATTATGTTCTGAGTCAAAAATTATATCATTTCTTAATAGCAAACACCTGGTAGATGTCGGCCCACTTAAAACTACAAATTATATAATTTTATACATTTGAACAGAAACAGTCATGTTTGCCTTTCTCAAATTGACGAATTATTAAAACATTTGTATTTAAACATATTAAAGTTATTACCACTAGTATCAAAATTTTTATTTTTTTGCCTGTTTATATTTTCCCTTTATCTTATACGAATTATATTCACTAAAAAACACTTTTTTTTCAGGAAAGAGAGAAAAAGAACTGCTAAAGTTAATAGTTGGTGAAACAGGAAAAGGAAGATATAGTTTTTATGAAAGTGATATACAAAGTATTCGTAATATTATAGAAGCAAGTAAAAAATTTCTAACATACCAATACTGGAAAGATAACAAAATAAGGTCTATTCTACATATAGCCAAATATAGTTCCAAACTTAGATATGATATTAAACAAATGATAATAAATACGATTGTAGATGTCGGGTATAGATCATTTACATTTTCTGAGAATTCATCTTTTAGCGACAAGTGCTACTCCTTGTTTTTTGTGGCCGCTAAAGGCGATTTCAAGCAACTGAAAAAAATAGTTACTTATTTTAGAAATAATAATTTAACCAAAATACACGATACTCGTGAAGGAGATACCGTAATTTCTTTTATGATAAAATTTGGAGATCATGATCAAAAAGAATTTTTAAGCTGTTTTAAATTTATGCTAGATGAAGGTATTGACGTCGAAAGAATTGATTATTATAAAAATAACGTAAAAGAAATTATTAAGAAAGAAGTTGAATTTTTAGAGAAAAATAATATTGGTGACGGTTTTATTGATAAATTGAGAAATATTCTAGACTATGTTGATAAATTTGCCAAACGAGGAGAAAATCTTGACACAATAATAAATTATAAATATAAAATCTTTCAAGCAATTATAAAGGACGACAAAAGCTTGAAAGGGTTTTTAAAAAAAGAGTTAATAGATTCGGATGATGGAGAGAATACCCTCCTACAACTGGCTATTATTAAGAATAATGTAGAAATAACGAAGGAATTGTTAAACGCGGGAGCGGATCCTAATCGTATAGTTGAAGGAGGGAACGAGGAAGAGCCTCTAGTATTGGCTGCTAAATTAGCTAGGGATAATATTTTTAAAGAAATTTTAAAAAATAAGAATACTAAGATTAACAAGAGCATGTTTATAAAGTTCGTGAAAGAATTAAAATTGAAATTCTTAAATTCTTTATTAGAATCTAAAAATTTGAATGTTGATATTGAATATAGAGGAAAAACGCCATTGCACTACGCTATAATAGGAAAAAATAGAAAAGCTGTACAATCTTTACTTCAAAGAGGTTCTCTTGTAGATGACGTTTGTTTACAGAACATCAATCCTAAGGATTTAGAAGATTATTTGAATTCATGCATAAAATCAGACAATTACAAAAAAGATATGGAAGAAGGTAATTATAAGTCATTTCTGGTATTTGACTTTTTTATAAATTCCTGTAGAAAACATCACAAAACAGAAAAAAGTTATCAACATTCTGATGAATCGGCAAGACTGTATAATAGCAGCTCGATATGTTCCAACAGATTTGATTCAGAAGTTGCAGTTATTCGAAACATTGGAAACATTAAGAGGCTTAAATATCTCCTTGAGCATCCGTTAGTGTACATATATATTATGCTTAAATGGCATTGTGTACTGAACTATTATTATTTTTTTGTTATCGTTAAGTCTATTTTCTATTTAATTATCGACAGTTTAATATACACAGACTCCTTTAATTTATGGATTCTAATTCCTGTCATACTGGTTCAGTTATTAGTTGTCTGCTACAACTATTCCGAATTTAAATTGGAATTTAGGCGATACACTTTGCATTTTATTTTAGAAATTCTTATATTTTTGTGTCTAATAATAATCTGTTGTTTAAAATTTATAAATTTAGCTAATTACAATGGTGTTGTAGGTGTAATAAATCAAATATCAGCCTTTGTTATTATTTTCACATCTGTATCCGCTCTATTAACAGTAGGTTACCATTTAAAATTATCAAAATGGATGTCAATGGCTAAAAGAGTTTTTAAAAATTTCAGTATATTGCTATTATTCTTTATGATTCCTATAAGTGCATTTGCAGCGTCATTTAACTTATTACTTCCAGTTAATGAAAACAGCAACACAACCGAAAGCGACAATGCGGATTTTTCCAGTTTTTCTCGAGCACTTTCCAGAACATTAATTATGATAGGCGGCGATATAGGAGACAAAAAATTTACTGGACCAGGAAGTTACTTACTTTTCCTTTTTTTCACTATCGGTATAGCAATAATACTACTAAACTTTTGGACTGGTGTTGCAGTTTCTGATATTAAAGAAATCGAGGAACAGTCAACGATTGTGGCTTTTAAGAATGTTATAGTGTTTATAGAAAGTGCAGAGATAATGTACCGGTTTCTTTACAATATAAAATTTAATACATGCCTACGCGGTGCGTTCAAATACGTCCAAGTACCCTTTATAAAGCCAAGAGTATATTTAAAGAAAAATAACAATTTTTTATTTGGCATCGATTTTTTCATTAATTCTCAGAAACAATTTAGGAGAAATACACACTTTGAGAAATGTAAAATACCAATTAATATTATATCAAAAATCAAGTCACTTTCTGAAGAAGAAACCGACGTAAATGTTGAGAAGGCACTGAAGGAATTAATCGACAAAACAAAATCGTTCGACAGTATCATGGCGAAATTGAATAAACTTGAACAGCTTCTTCAGAACCAAAGTAATAAAAATAAATAAACATAAATTTGGATAATCTACCTGATTAGGAGTGTCCCAATATTCATGCAAGAAGTAGTACTGATAGAAAACGGGTTTTTAATTAAAAATTGTAAATTTTGTATTGTTTCATAATGATGACAGTAGGGTTATGAATCGAATAGCATATCGGGTAAATGACCTCTACGGCTTTGCTAGCACATACGTACTCTTTTACCGAAATTTTCCATGACCGTTTGCATAAATGCGACTAAATTTCGTTGATACAGCGTTCAATTGCCTCCTTCAAGGCGTGGGTGCTAGTGGGCTTGCTGGCATAAATCTTAAACTTCAAAAAACCCCAAAGGAAAAGTCCAACAGCGTTAAATCGCATGATCTGGGCGACCAAAACTAGAAAGTACACAATCAGGAAATGATTCAAGCAGTAATTCATTTGTTTGTCGGGTTGTATAGCATGTGGCACTCTCTTGTTGAAACCATATCTTGCAATTTAGGGACAAAAAACTGGATTATCATGTCACGATACCGAGCAGCATTAACTGTTAACCAACCTGTTTAGTTTATAGGAAAGTGACATCTTTACAATGTAGAGATGAAAGTGAAAATGCAAATCTATTATTTTTATTTAATATATTTAAAAAACTAAGAATAATGTTTCGCTTGGCAAATGTCATCTTTAATGTGAATGTAACAATAAAGAAATTGATCTTTGAAAATATTGCGTTGGTTGCTATGACGAGTAGAAAAAAATCTAATTTGAAATGAAATACGTACTCTTTCCTTTTCTGAATTTGCCTCATTTGCCACTGTCGCGACCATTATCCACTCAGAAAATAACAACATTTTCATCTTTTTATTTGCAAAATAATTTAATTAATTCATTCATTCATTTTCATTTGCTTCGAACAAAATCATGTGCCAATTCATTCATTCATACTTGGACAGCAGCTGTTTCAAAGCTGTCTATCTAATCTTAAGCAAACTAAAATGTGGATAATGTACCTGATATTTGTTTAATTTTTGTATATACTTGTAAATGCATTATGCAAAGTTAGTTATTTGTAAGCAGAATCCGTTAATATATATCCTTCTACGTAAGGTTATATTTAACATTCTATGTCTGTAAGTATGTACTATGTATATATACATAATTAATTGTTTCATAATGACTGTTAATTTGTACATATTTTTTGCTCTGTGATCGAGAATATAAATATATTCTTCATATGTAATAATTATAGATTGAATTTATTGAACTGAAAAAATAGATAATACCTAATTATAAGTTGGGACCAATGTGTTTAATTTCTACTTTATCACTAGTCCATGATACCCAAAGCTCTGCACTACCGGAAAAAGCTAAGGGCACAAAAAAAATCGGAAATTTTTTAATGATTTTTGACAGTCTGTATTCAGTGAAAAAATGATCGTATCGATATAAAAAAAGCGGTTTGAAGCTCTAGTTTCAAGATCTTTTGACAAAAATTTTTTTTGAGCTCCGGTTATTGCGCAATCAGAAAATAGCGCGAGAAAAAAAATTCCTTCCAAATTTTTTTATTTATTTGCGCAGGAAAATAATTTTTTTTTACTTAGACTTCTGTATAGGTCTATGAGCTTCATTATTCAGTTTTTGTTTTTGTTTTTTGGTCTCTACACGTTAATTCTTTGTTAAGATATCCGGCTTTGAATGAAAAAAAGATGCTTTTGTCTTTGGTCATCAATATCTCTGTAATTAATGACTGCACAGTAAATTTAAGGGCAATTTTGAAAACTTGAATAAAACCTCTACAAGGACCATTTTGGTTTATGAAGAAAAAAATTTTTTCGTCCTTAACTTTAATTTGAAAAAAGTGTAAAAATTGGCTTTTTGCAGTTTTTTCTGAAAATCTACCCCTAATCTACAACTATTTATGAAAAGACTAATGTTGAGAGAAATTTTTATAGCACAGTTTAGCCATAATAATTAATAACCCTATAAATTGACAAATCTATATAGGCTGTTACAAATTCGCTTCTCACTACAGGGATCTCGGAAACGGTAAGAGGTACGAAGTAGCTTAAATGGGGGCAAAGTTGAGTAATCAGGGGACCAACATTATGCCTCTAAAAAATCAAGGCTAACGTGATTAGTTTTCGAAATTTTTGAAAAAAACCGAAATTTTGGAAATCCGTTTTTATTTCATTTCAGGCTTATTTGAGGTGATATTGAAAAAAGAAGAACACTTTCTCATGGCCACTTTTTGCCCTCTATCGGATGGCATAACATCTTTGTTTAGTAGATTTTTACAAAAATACCCTCAGTACAAATACTTATTCGATTAATTCATTTCGTAGAACAAAATTTATAAATATTCAATGACATACCTATCGGTATTGCACAATAGATTTAAAAGCAACGAACTGACCCTTGCACTATGTCCATCTCGCTCTCTCTCTCTCTCTCTCTCTCTCTCTCTCTCTCTATAAACTGGCGAACTGATTCATACATTGTTCCCGATTCTTCTACCGGTGGTTTAATTCTAATGCTCTCAGCATTTTGTAAAGAATAATTAACCCCGGAAACTTGGTGAATCGGGGCCAGTCCGAAGCCACCTTAAGAGCCAGTTGATAGCCAGGAGCCTCCACTTGACAAGCAAGCAGCCCTTGGAGTGTAAGTGTATTTTCTAATAAACTGGAAAAATTTATCGACTTGTGTGTTTTTCCCTCTCACCAGCCAAGCGAGTAGCCCGAAATAATAACATCTTTTTTTACCAATTATTTTTAGTATTTTAAACGGGAAACGTGCCAATATCACCTCAAACAAGGCTGAAATGAAACAAAAACGAATTTCCAAAATTTCGTTTTTTTCAAATATTTCGAAAACTAATTATGTTAGCCTTGGTTTTTGTAGAGGCATAATGTTAGTCCCCTGATTACGCAACTTTGCCCCCATTTAAGCTACTTCGTAGGTCTTACCGTTCCCGAGATCCCTGTAGTGAGAAGCGAATTAGTAACAGCCTGTAGACTGGTTTTTCTGTTCGAAATTAAAATGAAAAAAAAAATAATAATTTCTCTACTTTTCCCAGAATTTTACAATAGATTATCTTTGAATTTAAAAGATGAATTTCGTCTCCCTTTGTTAAAAAAAAATTAAACTTTTTGTCAAATGATTTTGAAACTAGAGACTTGAAGCTTCAAACTGCTTTTTTTATCTCAATACGACCATTTTCCCTGAGATATAGCCTGTCAAAGATCACTAAACAATGTCTGTTTTTTTTGTTCCCTTATTTTTTTTTTAAGATAAAAAAATAGAATTCAAAAGGAATCTTATAAAGTATCACTATATAGCCATTAAGAATTTTATTCAGTCATATTTGTGGATTGTACAGTAAGTAGTAGTAAGAAATATTATAAAGAAAATTTAACTAATTCTATCTTAACCGTCCTTCAATAGTCAGTGGTGCCAGCTACTAAAGACCAATCAACGATTAAAAAAAAATTGATTACTTCATATTTATATCAGAAGTTTGATTTGTTCAGTTTCCAGCATTAGAAAATATGGCTATCAATTATGGGACTTACCCTAATCGATGTTTGAAAAATTGGACTTTGCGAGCAGTTGTTCCCTTCCTTTCTGTAGAACATTATATCACAATATTATTAATAAATCTTTTTACTTTTTATTAAGCTATTAAGCTAATTCAAACAAATCCTATGAATGAAGTCAAACAATATTCTTCAATACCAGAAATCTAGGTATGCAAAAGAAATTAAAAAATATGTGTATTTATGAAATTATTAACAAATGTTGTGCAAAACAAAAAAGCACATTACCTTTTGGAAGAAAAAACAAAAAATTCAAGAAAGAAGGTGGTGAATATAAATCATTTTTATTAATAATGCAATTTTTTTTCTTTATAGAAAAGGCACTTTTCAATTTGTGACAAAATTATATAATTTTTTTATCTTTTACAAGATTCGTGCCCTGCCCAGAAGCATAAAGCGGGTTCAAATTAGGTAAGTACTTATTGTCGGTCGACAGTTCTAGTTATCAAGTAGGTCAGACAGGTAAGTACTAATCTGAAAATCGAAAATCTGCCATGTCTCCAAATATTTTTGCCACATGTCCGTTGTATCAAAATGAGGTAAATACACGGATTTGTGTTCAGTAAAATGTAATTATAAAATCTGACTTACCTCAACATTGCAAGGAGCCACCTTTTGATAACTACTGATTTTCATAGATGTTCGATGTACCCACCATTTGCTTGCACACAAGCTTCAGCGCGATGTATCCAATTCACTCCCTCTCGAATTGTATTACAAACTTCGGCAATACGATGTCGCGGTTGGTCGATGTCACGACCTTTCGTGGAATACACAATACATATCCCTACAAAGAGAAGTTTAAAAGGGTGAGGTCCGGGGACCGGAGGGGTCATGTAACTAGGCTGCCGCGGCCTATCCAGCGATCGGAAAAAGTATTGTTTAGAAAGTCGCGCACTCTCCGAAAAAAGTGAGCGGGGGCTCCGTCATGCAATAACCACATATTTTGCCGAACATTTAATGGCACGTCTTCCAATAACTCTGGCAAGCGATTTTGCAAAATATTTATATATAGAGCACCGTCTAAGCGTACAGGGTGTCCCTGAAAAGGATGGACAACGCTTGACCACAGGTTCATTGGATGGAAACAAGACTATTTAGCCTAACTTACCTATATACAAAAGTGCACGCCTACTGAGATATAGCTTTCTAAATATACAGGGTGTATTTAAATGGAGGGGCACAAATGATACCTGATATTCCTTGGGTGAAAATAAGTTGATTTAACCTAACATACCAATATCCCAAGTCGCATAATAGAAAAGATACGGGGTGTCAAAGTGAAAAATAAAAAATGGTTTTTCCTTAATAATTCCTATAATTTTAGTCCGAAATGTTTCAAATTTTCAACAGATAGGTTTTATGTATCGAGTACGAGGCGCCCTCTACAGGTACTGATATGCATTGAATATGTAGTAACTTTTTTGCCAACCCCCGTATACAGCTTTTATTAGTAATAAAATATGAAATACTGGACTTTATTCAACAAAAAAGGTATACTTATCGAAAATGGCTAAAGCCAACCGTTGAGGAAATATTTTTACTTTCATAAATTAGTGTTACGGATTTATACCTCAACGAATACCAAGGTACAAACAGACACTTTTGTAAATATATTCAGAACGCATTACCTTGCAGTGCTTATTATTTGTGTATCTGTATTTAAAACCAAAAGGGGGCTCAGGAATCAACTGAGACAACATTATTTTTCTTGTTTTAAATTTGCTTTACTCTTTTTGCGTTATTATTCTAGCATATGTGAATACACTTGTTGCATAATTTCTATTTNATTTCCTAATCGAAGAACTCTAAATCACAAAACATTTACTAATGCGGAGAGACGCCTTTCGGAAACAGGACGTTTTTTACCTGTAACATTAAATCGTGGATAACGTACGGCCGGAATTATTCAGCTGGAGGAACAAATTTTGGAAAGGATCAAAGAAATTCTTCAAGTAAATGAAAGGCGTTTAGCGGCAGAGGTTGGCTTTCAAAAAGTTCCTTTAATAGAGTATTAAAGGACCAGTTATTACAGGTTACAGGTATTACAGGGTACAGGTAGGTATTATAGTTTATTACTGGTCTAACAGGTGGATAGTTAGAGAAAATAATGCCCCTTTAAAATGGCCACCTCGATCCCCGGACCTAAACCCATGTAATTATTTCATTTGGGGAACGTTGCTGAAAGGCACCGTGACGTATTTCGTGTGGATTTTCGATAGTCCAGCGTTGAGTGTTATGAACGTTACGTACACCATTCCGACTGAAACATGCTTCATGATGTAAATTGAGGATTTCTTGCATGTTCCTGAAGTAACCATTTGCAAAAACCTCGACGTACTGGAAAATCCTCAGGAGTAAGGGCTTCAACACGTTGAATATGAAATGGGTACAATTGAGCTTCTTGAAATGTTCGTCACATAACAAGATGCAAAATATTTACTTGCTGTGCGATATTTCTGGTGCAGGGGCACGTCGTTGAGAATATCGTGCACGGTACACTTGACAAGCTCTGTGGGCATTTTCGCTTGCTTCACTATAAATTATGAGCATATCACAATATTCGCGAATACTAAATAAATGCGTTATTTTCAAAAGAAAACTTGGAAATACGGCTATTAAATGTACTCTGAAAAACAACACAGCAATCACTACAACAATGCATTACAAACTGACTTTCGAATA